CTATCTCTATTTTGTTTGGTCAAAATACTTATGTACACTACCTGCAAGAATTTGTAACAATGGTTAATTAAGTAAAATTAAATATTAACATATCTGTTAATCAGGAATTCTTACTGGTGAATCAGGGGAGAGAACTTGGTTTCCAATCCAAGACAATTGGGATCCCACAGCAACAGGTTTTGCATGTTCTTCTCATTCTCAAACTCCTCAATTCTCCAGAATTTCAAGGTCAGAACAGTTGACAATGGCTGGCGTCTGAAAGATAATGTTAAGATTTTTAGATTGTGACAAAAGTTTGCAGCGCATTCTTTTGCACAGTGTTAAGGACATTTTAGCATCGTATTTGAAGTTTACTTGTCTCCTGATCAAAGATGGTGCATAGTGATATGCAGAGTCTGAATTTGTCATACACATCTTCTACACAAATACTTACTCAAAGCAGAAACTGCACATTGGTGCATCTCTTGTGATCAGTTGCTTACTGTTAGGAACATCCTAACAGACTGCAAAAAATACGCAACAAATACTGTGATGTAAAAAAAAAAAAAAAATTTTTAGTTTTAAGTCTTAAAGTTATGTACAAAATGTTTGAAATTCAGCATTGAGTGGCCCATAGAGGTTGTCATGTTTCTGAACAAAATCCAAACAACCATTTCAGCATTAATGACCCCTAATTGTTGATATGCTGATAAGATCACAGGCAGTTGGTAACGAAAATTAGTTTGAAGACCTAGCCACTGATCTCCCTGCTTTCATTTTGTGCAGTGTGGGGCTAGCCAAAGAGTTAGAATCTATAGCAATCAAGGTCTGTGCCTCTGGCATGGGGCCAAGAGAAAGAGACATAAGTTTCAAATAGATGACCTTGTACTCTAATTATAATGCTGTTAAAGAACCCTACCTGTATATCCTATGTGAAACTAGGGGTGAGGAATAAAAGCTTCCACACACCTTGCTTTCTGCCCTTTGCACCTTGAAAATCACATTTGGTCAAACATCACATTACACACACTGTTTTTATGCTATAATGGTATCATTCGGTGATGCATGTTTTGTGGCCTTGTGCCAGGCTTTGTCTTGTAAATAGCTAAACGGGAATCCCTGCTAGCTCAGAATAGTCTATAGTTGTAAAACACAGTGTTGAAACTTTGAGCTTCTGAATTTTTTTTTTTTTTTTTTTTTTTTTTAATCCATTTACTTCGAGCAAGGAGATAATGCCACTAAGATGCAAGGAGCTATCGGGAGTGAAACAGAATGAAAAAGACATTAGAAACATCTTGAAATGCAAGTGCAGACCTCTACTCCTATTCAAAAGACTGAGAAGTGTGAACTGAAAAATAGGTAGTCTTTTAAACAGGAGTAGTTTTGTCTCTTAGAGGTTAGCTACAAGCCTACTCTGGAGCAACGGTTAGCATAATTTTCATCGGCTAATTCACTAATGGTATTGGCTTTATTTTTCAAGTGTACATATTATTGTGACCTTGTGCCAGACTTGTATACTGAAAAACAAACCTTAAAGCTATAACTAAAGTTTCATCAGGAGTGATCAGGAGGCTTTGAGGAGGGTGGAACCACCTCTTAATTGCTAAGTCTAACCTGACCCTGAGTGATAGCACCTGTTAGGGTCCCAGCTATGGGTAAATAGTTAACCTCCAAACTAGGGTCAAAACACTATGAAAGTGAAATGTTTTTAATACCAGCAATACATATTTGTAAAAAAAATTATTACCAGCAATGAATTTTTGAAGAAAAATATTACCAGCAATAAAAAATCCTGTCGGCATTAAATAACCCATTGAAGTTGATATGCTGTAAAACAAACCAAACTCCAAAATTTAAACTCTAGCATTAGGTGAATGAAGTCGTTTTACAGTTCTGAAGGTTTTAGTAAAAGAAAAAGAAAATTGCATGTTGTAGTTTTTATTATTAAAGTGTTAAAAAATTTCATTCAGCATGAAGTATTGCTGATTATGGCTTTCATTGTTCTAGTTATTTTAGAATTTCTTTTTAAGTTATTTTTAACTACTGTATATATTCACATATCATGTTGCCTTTTGAAAACTTAATTTTGAGGTTAATTTAACTACAGTAAATGGATATGTATATAGTTTGGTCAATGGCGTAGACAGGGCCAGCAATGCATATGCTAATTTTATATCTCGTGTATAATGCAACCCCCTTAAAATTAGCTTCAAAATTAGGTCTTCAAAAGTCACATGATATGCGAATATATACGGTAATTAATATCTTAATTTGTTGTGATATTAAACGTTTTATTGCTTTATTTTATGCTTAATGTTTAACCTTTATCACTCTGCATTATTAATATTATTTCCTTTCACTATGAATTCTTTTTTTAAGCCCTCTCAATTGCAGTATCCTTGTTTATTTCACTTAGTTTTCTGTTGCCATAGCAGGATATGACAACACAACTGTGAAATTCAAACACACCATTATTTGAGGATCAGTCACCTTCAGTGGCAGGATAAACTTTTTGTACAGTAAATGAAGTCGCATACAGAGTGATAAAGGTTAAATTCTAAAACCTGTACTTCATTGGTTGTTACATGTCTTTGTAGTGAGTATTCTGTTTTTGTTTTAATGGGGACTGATAACATTTATAAGTCGAGCATGTGGGTCTGTGAGCTCCAAGTTGACATGTCTCCAAAAGCAAGACCCTCTCCCCAGCAATTTTTTTTTTTTTATTCTTGTTATCAATTGCCAGCTAAATATTTCATGCTCTCTTTTCAGATCTTCATATTCCTCTAACATTCTTGTTGGTTGAAATAAGGCTGCCAAGTCACATTTGCCCTTTAGCTATCTGCAATGCATTTTATTCTCTACATAAAAATGTTGTCTTACATTTTTTTTTTTTTTTTTCCACCATGTAATTTCTCTGATTGGCTTACTCAAAAGAATCCTTTATTTCTTTAACATCTCTAGCTTTTGATTCACTTAAATTCCAGTTTCAAACTTCCCATACAACTCTTAGGTACTTATATTATTTTGAACTATTCTCATTTTGGTTGCTGCAGATATTATAGACACATTGTGTATAGTTTGAAATAATACAAGTATATTAAATAATTAATCATCTCGAATATGAAATTATGAAAAGCAGTATAAATCCACTATCATAACCAAAGGTCAAAAAACAAAAATCTAGCATTGAATATAAAAGGCTCCAAAAAAAAACAAAAAACATACCACACTGTCTATTAGGACAGTGGCATAGAGGATATGGGAGTTGGCTATTTCTGTCATCAATGTTCAGGAGTTCAATCCTTGATCCTTATATGGGATATCAATAAACAAGATATCCCATATAAGCTGATCAATGGACACCTGATGATGACCAGAGGATACTTGGTCAAAACAATAACATCTACATCAACCAAGACTAGAACTGTTTGAAATAAGAATATTGACGATTACTCATCTTGGAAATGAAATACTAAAATCTCGGATACTTGTTACAATTTCAAAGTGTTTATTCACCATTTTATTTTATTTTCTTCCTCTCTTGATGGTTTCATTTTGAACCACGTATATAATCAGAGTGCATGGTTAGAACATTTACTTTCCAACCATGAGACCCAGGTTCAAATCTCACCATGATTTGTCAGGGAAGGGTGCTTCTTAATATTATCAGTCTGGGGAGCCAATCCCAGCAAGCGGCACTTTTGGAAAATGCCTAAAAACCATACCATAAGTTCACCCAAGCCTTGTAAGTGAAATTGGGTAGGTAGAATTGGCAGCTGTTGGATTGTACTATCACAAGTCACCATGACTGAGGATTTGAGTGTACTGGTGTTGTTCAAACAGCAGTACAACAAATTATGCAGTCCCGGAAACTGTAAATAAGGTCTGCTCAGCATAGTTGCACAGGTAGACTCTGTGAGTGAATGAATGAAAATGTGACTGGGGTGTCTGCAACAGGGATTGGCTAGCCTTTCAAGCAGATGGCTGTTCCCATAAAATGAGTAACCATCTGATATTTATAAGATACTAGTATTTAATATAGACATCATGAAAACCTTTTTTTTTCTTTATCAGTCATAAATTTTATTGCAGTCTTGGAATGATTGATATTTTAAGCCAGGTTGTTTTACTAATATTGAACAATTGGCACGACTGTGATTTTTATGGTGCCTACTTTTGATTCAAAATAAATTTTTTAAAGTATTTGATATTCTGAAATGATCAAATATTTAAAATAAAATCACTTTTGCTTGAACCTGTTGGGTGAAAGTCAGCTACTATGGGCCTATCTTAAGGATCAAAATTTTACTCCACTAACAAGTATTTTTATTATAAAAGCATGAGGTGGTTCCACACTCCTCAAAACCACCTTATCAGAGGTCTTGCTGATGGATGTAGTTTAGTCATACCCAGGACCCTGAAAGTATAAAAATACATTTTCATAGTAAAAAAAAAAAAAAAATTACCAGCAAGGCATTTTTTTTTTTTTTTTTCTTTTTTTTGACAAAAATATCGTCAAGGTTTGTATATCTAGTTCTTCAAATTTCTGAATAAATTTTTATATAATCGGTAAACTTTCCAATGTTTTGGATGTTGCTACATTCGCTGTAAAGGATTTCTTGTTTTGTTTGTTTATGAATCTGTTTTTTGGCATAAAAAGAAAAATGCCAGAATTAGCCAAAAAAAAAAGTTTCTTAATCAGAAAAACAATCTTTGACAATAAATGTAACATTGGACATTACTCAGTAAGGTGGGGAACAAAAATTAACTTTTGGAAAGTTAGTTTACTGATTGTATCAAACAACTTATTTGGAAATTTGAAAAACCTAATAAAAATGACTTTGAATTGAAGAAAATATAGTAGTAATAATGTGGGAGTGGCAAATATTAGAAGTTCCGAGAGGAATATAAAAGTAAACCATTTTTTTTTTTTCTTTATCGTTATAAAGAAAGTCAAATCACAGACCATTAAATCCTGATGTTTCTTGTTAAATTTTTAGATGCTGAACAGTTTTCGAGTCATGCAGCTCTACACCTTCCTTGTTGTGTTGGCCTTATGTGCCACAACCTGGTGTTCTGCTATTCCAAAACCTGATGACCATAAAAGCAGGGTCTATGACAAGGTAAGTGGCACTTTTTACCAATTTGTTTCCTCTCCTATATTTGAGTGTTCATTATAGTAACTGTGTAACCATTTGAGTTTAACTTGACACTACAACACTTTTCTCAGCATTTTTGCCATCTAGATTGTTCCAACTCTTAATTTCTAGTACCTTCAGACACTTAAAAACCATTCATAGTGTCCTGATGCTTACTGGCACTACTGTTGCATTTTTTGGTTCTCTAGCAAGTTATATTATTAGTCATCTTGTCCAAAAATGAAACTCTTCATGGTTGACTGAAAGTACCTTATCCAAGATTACTGTTTTACCAATGCCTTTATTTGCTGATATTTCTAAGCATAGCTTAGATGTGGCACAAGGCCAAAAGTATGGGACACTCAGTGAGGATCGAACTTGCTCCTCAATTGTAATTGTCCTAGTGAGACAAGTTTGCAAACCATTACACCACATTAAGGTGTCCAACTAATGGCTTTATTTGGAATGAGAGCTCTTTTCTTTGCTGATGTCTTTCCAAAATCAGTGCACTTGAAAGTGTGTGTGTGTGGTGGTTCTAAGAAAACCCTGTAGTACTCAAGTTGCTTAAATTTGTGCATAAATTGTTTGTTTGTTTGTGTCTATTAATAGGAAGGATATCTCCATTATAAGTAAAGTGGTAGAATTCTTGAATACATTATATAATAGTGTATTTACCTCTGTTGGTTAAATGACACTGATGTCAATAATGGAGGTACTTATAAATCAATTACTTACTTAAAAAAGAAAAATGTGTACCGTTTCATTTTTAACTCTATACTAAAATAAAATTTAGTTTTTATATTAGACTAGAATCCAGTAAATCTTTTTTAACTGTATGCTCCTTCATAAAGAAATTTACTTTTTGTTTGCTACATGAATCTGTTTTGTACTTTATAGAAATTAAGTGACCAGAAACATGAAAGCGATGGTATGCACAATGCAGATTATGATCACGAGGCCATTCTGGGTAAAGATGATGCCAAAGATTTTGACCAACTTTCGCCAGAAGAAAGCAAAGAAAGACTTGGGTAAGCATTTTTGAATCATTTCCTAAAGCGTTGATTTCAAAGTATCATCCTGTCTTCCTTTTGAATTCTTAAAAATTCAAACTTTAAATCCTCAAATTCTCTTCAAATGATGTTTGAGAAAAGTATATTTTATTTTTGAAAGATTTTTTTACTAAATCATTTTGTTGACAGATCTGTCAATATGGACAAATTTATAAATTTTACTGATAAGTTGAAATAAAAAATATTCCAATCAATTTGAATTTGGTTCCAAATTAATTAATTTAATATGTTTTTTGTTTTTTTGTTTTTTTTTATACATATAGTTTATATCGGATTTGCACAACATGAAAGATATACCATATATACTTGCTTATAATGTGACCTTTGAAGACCTAATTTGACTACAGTGAATGGTTATATATTTTGGTTAATGGTGTAGCCAGGGCCAGCAAGATTTATGCTAATTTTGTCTTGTGTATAATGCTACCCCCTTGAAACTAGCTTCAAAATTAGGTCTTCAACAGTTTCATGATATGAGAGTATATACGGTATGTACTTCAGCTGAAATATAAGAACCCTATATCACATTTAATTCACTATACTCATCACATGTCACAGACACTCTCATATCAATGGGACATATTCAGGAAAAGTTTTACCATATTTAACCCATATCCTCCTCCTAGAGATTTTGTTTACTGTGACTGTTTGCTTAAAGTTCATTGGTTATTTGTTTGGTTGTTTTTTTTTTTTTTTGGTGGGGTAATGAAAACCATTTCCAAACATTTTTTGAAATTCTACTCTAGATATGAACAATAGAAGGCATCCATTATTACCGAAAGCAAAAATGTATGGGTTAAGCATGTAATGTCTAAAGCAAACTATTAGTGCTTTGTACAACATTACAAAGCATTTTGGTTATAGTAGGAAGCGTCACTGTATATGAAAAGCAAGTTAGCAGTACAACTGAACAAAAAACAAAAAATCACAATGTAAACCCACCAACCCCTTCATCTGCCATTCTTCTGTCACCTTAGGCTTGTATTTCCCTAGTTAATGGTTGGAATGTGCTGTGGTACATTTAAATAGGATGTCTCAACTGGTACCAGTAACTATCGCATGCACACAATCTGCCAAAAAATGTATACACACTTCAGGAAAGGGAAAATTTGTCTAGATATTGTAATACTAAATTTATTCAGACTTCACAAGATTAATACAAGTGACCTTTTGAGTAACAGCTATCTGGGTAAAATATCGTACTACAGTAAACAATGTTATTGCAATTTGATAAAACTAGGAAAAACAATTTTTTTTTTTTTTTTTTTTTTTTTTTCCCCCGCCTTTACTGAATGCTGTATACATTTTGTTTTGCTCTCTGTGTGCATATATAATTTCATACATGTTTCATTAAATAATATAGACAAGTGTTGTCTATTTCATAATGTCTGATAAGCTTAATAACATAAAAATCACAGTACTGATCCATATGTGTGACATCATGAGCTGCAGTGCGATTTTCACTTCTAGCATCTTATATGCACGTGTTTATTGTTGCTTGGAAATCATCCTTGTAAACAATAACAGACTATCATCACTGTCTTGTCCGTAAATTTGCTTTTCGTATTGTACCGTAATTGACATCTTTGATAATGGATTATGTAAGCTGAAAGCTTAGATTGGATTAAAAAATATGGATCAATATTGTGATTTTCTTTCTTCATTTAATGATAACGTTATTAAGCTTATCAGACGTTATAAAAAGAATTTACATAAAATAAATAGACAACACTTGTCTATATTATTTAATGAAACATGTATGAATGAAAAAATGCTGCCTAAATACACACAAAATATATAAGTGAAATGAAGAAAGGCAAAAGAAATGCATCAAAAGCTGCCTCATCAGTTATGTATCAAAAGATACATGATCGCCTAATGTTTCACACATGGCACATAACTTACTGATATTCACTTACATGCTAATACCCTTGGGAAAGGTATGAATCCTCTTCTTCGCCCCCAAGCTATGGGTAAATAACAGGACAAACTGGGTTTTATAGCTTTGTATGGCAACTGGTCTACTGACCACAGAAAGAAATGGCAACCTACTGTGGGGAAAAAAATCTGCCTCGTCAGTCATGTATCGACAGATACATGATCGACAAAGCGTGTATCACACATGGCACATAATTGACTGACTGATTGAACTGATCTACATAATCTTTATCCCCCCACTAGAATTTTTTTTTTTTTTTTTTTTCTTTTCTTTCAGAAAAATTGTTGAAAAAATGGACAAAGACAACAATGGCTTAATCACTGAAACTGAATTAAAGGACTGGATCAAGTACGTCCAAGACCGATATGTGATTAAGGACACTGATGACCGCTGGAAAGAATATGAACTGAGTACTGACAAACTCGACTGGGAAAACTTCAAGAAAAGGACCTATGGCTTTACAGAAGAAGGTGAGATATTTTCTGTTTGTCTTGCAGAATAATTTGTTGAGGTAATAGCCAAACTTCTAACTGCATTTGAAGTGGAAGCAAGTTTACATGCCATATGGTTTTAATATTACAGTGATATGGCATTTGACTACATACAAGTACTTAATGAAATCCTCTAGATCGGGAGTCGGCAACATTTTAGAAAGAGCAGGCCAGAAAGCTCTGTGGTGTCTCTGAGAAGGACCATGATATAAAATGTATCATAATAAATTGTCCAGACCTCAGACCACTCCATTTAGAAGATTACCTTGATCTGAAGGTTTAAAGAAAAAATGGTGATGTTAATGTTATGTTATTTAAAAGAGGTTTATTAATTTACTGTTGGAATAACAGGATAACAACTAACACAATCAACGAAAAATACAAGTTCATTACTACAAACGAAATAGTTAGAAATGGCAAATTATTTCATGAGACACTTGCTTCTGCTTATATTTCGATAACCTCTCCACATCAGGTGAAATATTTCTTGATGCCAGGAGCAAAAAATTCTCCAGGTGGTCATCAGCAAACATTGTTGTTAAACGACTTTTAGCATATTTCATTTTCAAAAAAAAAAAAAGTTCATATGCATATGTACATCCGTCATTTTTCACATGTTTTCCACTTCGTGAAACATTTCTTGCAGAAGTCAGCAGTGGATTCAGAATAAAATTTTGGATTTCAAAAATTTGTCGCATTGTAAGTCAATTAACTCTGATATTTTTCTGCCACTTGCTCCACAAATCAGTTAGTGTCCAGGTGTCAGACAAAAATCCTTCACAGGCCAGATGTGGCTGTCCCCTAATCTAGATTTTAGTTTGTAATTGTTTTTTTACCTCCCTTTATGGGTTGGGGATAAGGCCCTCACCCACTCTACAAGCGATGCAGTCAATATGTTTTAGTTCCTGCCAGCAGGGTTCAACAGGTGTGTATAAATTCTTGATGGCAGAGGGACTGAGCATGCAGGAAAGTTCAATATTTTTCATTAATAACTTTCATCTGGGTGAACCTTACACTGTCACATAGCTTCCCTTTTCCATAAGTTGAATACATTACCTAAATTTGGCTTCTGTGTGTGTGTCTCATTGCAATGTACTTTCATATATTTTTTTTTTTTTTTTTTTGTCCAACCTCACTTAATGCACATTTTTTTGTCCTTTTCCAGAATTGGCTCCAACTGATGAACGTGCTGTCTACAAAGAAATGATTGTTCGTGACAAGAGGCGTTGGCAACAGGCTGACCTTAACAAAGACAGCTTCCTTTCAAAAGATGAATTCATCCATTTCCTCCATCCTGAAGAAGCTGAACATATGAGAGATATTGTTGTCATGGTAACTTCTATTTACTGAACAATTTGATTTTGGTGAAAGAGAAACTGTTATAGATAATCTGTTCATGTGATGATGGCTACAACTCATTCAAGTTGTCATCACTTGATTGATCCTCAAATGTAAACTGTGTGGACTTTTTCTTGCCTTTTTAAGTCCTGCTTTCACTCTCATGTGTCGATACAACATTGGTTGCCTCTTGCAGAAGGTGTTATAGTAATATTTTGCTGAGCTGAGTCGGTGGCCCAAGGACTCGGAGTTCCCACATTAAAAAGGCCTTGTGCCACATGACGCCCTCGTGGGAGGGTGGCCCGCTCTGAGGTTGAGTGAGTCGGTGGCCCGCTCTGAGGTTGAGTGAGTCGGTGGCCCGCTCTGAGGTTGAGTGAGTCGGTGGCCCGCTCTGAGGTTGAGTGAGTCGGTGGCCCGCTCTGAGGTTGAGTGAGTCGGTGGCCCGCTCTGAGGTCGGTGTTGAGTGGTCGGTGGTGGCCGCTCTGAGGTTGAAGTGGTCGGTGGCCCGCTCTGAGGTTGAGTGGTCAGTGGCCCGCTCTGAGGTTGAGTGAGTCAGTGGCCCGCTCTGAGGTTAGTGAGTCGGTGGCCCGCTCTGAGGTTGAGTGAGTCGGTGGCCCGCTCTGAGGTTGAGTGGTCGGTGGCCCGCTCTGAGGTTGAGTGGTCGGTGGCCCGCTCTGAGGTTACTTGAGGTGGTCGGTGGCCCGCTCTGAGGTTGAGTGAGTCGGTGGCCCGCTCTGAGGTTAGTGGTCGGTGGCCCGCTCTGAGGTTGAGTGGTCGGTGGCCGCTCTGAGGTTAGTGGTCGTGTGGCCCGCTCTGAGGTTAGTGGTCCGGTGGCCCGCTCTGAGGTTGAGTGGTCGGTGGCCCGCTCTGAGGTTGGGTGGTCAGTGGCCCGCTCTGAGGTTGGGTGGTCGGTGTGCCCGCTCTGAGGTTGTGGTCAGTGGCCCGCTCTGAGGTTGTCCACACTTACACAACTGGTTTTATAGTTTTTATGTCCCCATATACCACGCAGATCTCATAAATGTTTTATCTTATTTGTAATGTTTCATTTTTTTTCTCTTCCATCCAAATGGCAAGAAACCCCGCTACCACTTTCTTTTTTTTTTTTTATTATTATTATTTAAAGAGTAATTTTTTTTTTTTTATTTATTTCATCTAGGAAACAATGGAAGATATTGACAAAGACAAGGATGGCAAAGTTAGTCTTGAAGAATACATTGGTAAGTTTGAAATGTTTGAGTTCCTAACTGCAAATTTTCTGACTTAAAAGTTGCTTTTTTAATCCTGAAAACATGTTCAATATGTTCTCAGTTGGAATGTGTTCTGTTTCTTTCCCTAGGCTTGGCAATGTTGCTTAACTTAACGTAAGCTTTAAGCTTTTGAGGAATGCAAATTTACATCACAAATGATTCTTATTATAATTATTATGCAACACTTGAAGATTGTTTGAAACTTCAAAAAATGTTGGTATACAAAAAAAAAAAAATGAGTTAATTTCACAGTTTAAGTAATATATATTAGACTCTCGCCATTGTATTTGATATATGAGGGTCAAACAGCTCGGTTCCTAGGAACCGACAGCCCAGACACCAGCACATATGATTTGATTATAGTGGTGATGGCTTTGTGCAGCTACCAAAAACAGAGGCTTAATGCACTACGTGCCACAAGGTCCCCAAATGACCCTCCGCAGGTTTTGAATTCAGAGTTGTCCTTCTCGTGGACCAGTTGCCATCCAAGGTCTGTCCTGCTATTTACCTATAGCTGGAGGGAGAAGGGGATTCATACCTTTCCTAAGGGTATTAGTCCGTAAGTGAATATAATGGATTCAAATGGAATTCAAACTCTGCTCACTAATTCCTCAATCCAAGCTGCTATCCACTACTCCACTGTGCCTCCAAATTATATATGTATTATACTGTAGTCAAGAATTCTACCAATTTGTATTATTTATTAGACCCAAGCATAAAACTTAAGCAACTTAAGTATTAATTTGCACAAAAATTAAGTGACCCCAGGAACAAAAAAAAAAAAAATTCTTACTTTACAGTGATGTTCACTCTGTACATGGCCCAAAAGCCACTAGAGGTAGAGAGTTACAGAGTAAGAGACACCACTCCAGGCAAGGTGATAATGCCACCAAGACCAGATGGGCCACCAGAATTGAAAGAATAAAAATCCAGAAATTCAATCCAAAACAGGAAACAAGCAATAAGCCTCTCCTCCTGTATTTATTTATTTATTTTAATAATAATAATTCTGTCGTCTTTTCTGGCTCTGTGGATGTTGTGGGAGGGACGATATTCTATGAATTAATATGGCTGGTGAAAAGTTATGGCTGAATATAAAATACATATTCTTTACTTTCCCCTCTCAAGCGATACAGAAAGCAAATAACGTTTTATTTTCGGCCATGATTTCTCACCAGCCATATTAATGCACAGTGTATTCTTTTTGCCCTCCCTATAAACTCCAGAGCCGGAAGATCATACAAGATTTTTTTTTCTTAATCTTAGATTTAAATTGCATCACAAATTTTTATCAAGCCAAAAGTATAACCGTACATTCCTTGTTTTGTTTATTGTAGTAATTGGTAAATGCTGCTGTTAAAAAAAAAAAAAAATTTTTTTTTCTTTTTTTCATTTTAAATTTTGTTTGCATGTCTTAAATTTGTATTTTATCTCTTCTACCTCCCACCATCACAACATTTTCCATGTCATCGTTCCAATTGATCCATTCTCTTCACCTTGCATCACTGGTGATTATTGCAATGATTTTAAACCAATTGTCATTGCAATAATTCCTTTTTATTCTGTTACAGCAGTCATCATGGCTGAGAAAACGAGAAATTTGGGCACCTAGGCAGTAATTGTAGGCACCATGACACTTATTAGTTCAATATAGAATCGCAGTTTGGAAAATTGGTTCTTGATACCAAAGAATTATTGTACTGTCAGATAAAAACTAAATCTTTAAAATATTTGGTAATATATCTTATTTAGATACAGTTCACACAAAATAATATAACTTTTATCTTTATTCAGTCATAAACTAACCTTTTTTTTTTTTTTTTTTTCTTTTTCACTAATTGCTCAATTCTTCATTTAAGATGTTTAGTGGTCGTAAAAACCAAAAATACAACATAGTTAAAAAAAAAAAAATTCTCGTTTTTTACAAAAAATAACCCTTCCATTTCAATCAAAATAATATCTATCATGACTAACTGCATGATTTTTCTTTCTTTTTTCTTCCTTTTTTTTCTTCCTAAACATGGCTCTTGAAATTTTAAGAAAAGACAATTTAATTGTGTGTGTGTGTGCGCGCGCAAAAAAAGAATTTTACACCTCTCACAGGAGATGAGTTTACACTGATCAGAAATCATTTTTATATTAAATGTATTAATATAGTATTTCATAATACAGAGTAACCCGGATATAAGAGACCCGGATATAAGAGATTTTCTCTGGTCCCAAATTAGAGGCCATACTTACTTAAACAAAACAGACCAAACCCGGATATAAGAGACTTCTTCTCCGGTCCCGACAACTCTCTTATATCCGGGTTACACTGTAGTACAAATTTACATCACTTCTGCTTGAATTATCTGGAATAAGAACTTATTTTTCAGTCAGACTAATATCCCCATTTTTGTTGCTGTCACAACCTTTCAGCCATTGATCCATGTAACGTTCAAGTTATGTTGAAATGAAGCTTTTCTTTAATCCATGGAGATCTAGATCGTTCTATCTTGTCTTGGTTGCTTGTCCTGAGCAGGATGAGAAGTCCCTAGACATCGACAGTGAAATGCAAATAAAGCATTTAGTTTCAAATCCCACTGAAGGTTACCTTGAAAAGAAATAACAAATGAAGCCATTAGTGTTACTGTGAAGAAGCAGAATTTCTTTTACATGCCACATGTAAAATTTAATTTTATGTTCTAATTGTAAAAAAATTTAAATTTTAAAAATAAAAAGAACTGCTAATATTCTCTTCTATAAAACATTTTAATTAATAATTTAACTTAATTTTCTTAACATCATATATTCACTTGTTTTCAAACTAATTAAATGTAATACTCATTTTATATATATATATATATATATATATATAAATTTGTGTGTCTGTAATAATCTGCTGGCATATAATCCAAGTGAATCCTAAAAATATAAAATTGATCCAGAAAGAGAGCTCAATGTATTTATTATAACAGAGCATATAAATTACATAGAATAGAAATCCAAATTTACCACATTCAAATAGCTATTTCAACCAAGGCCCATGTTGACATTGTCTATTCAGAAGTGTGAAGGAAGCACAAGTGTGTGTGTGTGTGTGTGTGTGTGTGTATATATATATATATATATATATATATATTTTGTACAGCAATCCTCCTTTTTATAAGTTTCATTAAAGACAGCAAACAAGGTAGTCCAATTAAGCTTTTTATTTAATTTTTCTTGTGTGTGTGTTTCTTTCCTGGACATAAAAAGTGTAAAAATTGTCTGAATGTTCTGTATGTGCAAGCGCTTTGTTATTCTTTTGGCCATTATCAAAGAGGATTTTCATTATTTTTAACTGACTATGGATTTTTTTTATGCCCGTATCTAGAGTTATAAGAATGTTTTATTTTCCATACAGTGTCAGCACATTGTGGCCGTGTTTATAGTTGATATTTCTTCATTCTTTTTTTTTTTTTTTCTTTAACCTGTGGATGATGAGGCTATTATTCTTGTATTTTCTACAAGTATGTTGCCGATGGAGTTTGGTAGGTTTTTGTTTGAATGAATCTTAATTGAGTTAACACTGCCACAACTAAGAATGTTTTCTGGCTTTAAATAACCTGCAAAGGGTTGATTAGCCATAAAAAACAAATCCATCTATCAATTAATCAATCAAATACTGATTATCTACACAGGCATGTCTTTTAGATATATATATATATATATATAAAATATAGAAACGGCCACAAAGTGAGGGATCAGTTTACCAATTGATTGTAATATAGAATTGATCCTCCACTTTATATCCACTATAATTTCTTGTTTATCAAGTACTGATTAGGTCCACAGGCATGTCTTTTAGACTTATTTACATTCACTGGAATATAGATGCATAGCTACTACAGTTGCCACAAAGTGAGGGATCAGTTTATATATTGACTGTGGTGTATAACTGATCCCCCACTTTATATCCACATAATTTCTTGTTTCTTTTTTTAATCCTGATTAGGTATGCATCCATGTCTTCTCCCACTGGGCTATGGATTATTCAGTAAGAATCCTTATATAAAAAAAAAAAAAAAAAAATACTGGCTTTAAATAACCTGCAAATGGTTGATAAGCTGTAGAAAATGAATCGGCCAATCAATGAAATACTGATTAGCTAAGCAGGCATGTCTTTTAGCTTTATTTGCATTCTCTGGAATGTAATTGTATAGAAACTTGGCCATAAAGTGCAGGATCAGTTTATCAATTGATTGTAATATAAAATTGATCCCAAACTTTATATCCACATAAATTTGCTTATCAAATTCTGATTAGGTATGAATTGTCCTCTTCTCCTCCCAGCTATAGGTTAATCAGTAAGACTTGTATCATTAAATCATTCTCAAAAAAAAAAAATAATCTTACAATCTAAAAATATTTCCTGGCTTTAAATAACCTGCAAAGGGTTGATAAGCCAAAGAAAACAAATTAATCAATAATTCCCCAAAATACTTAATTCTGCAAAGCATCTTGGCCTGAGGATTTGGCATGTATGTGGTGTTGTCCTGTTTTGCTGTGTGTTTATTTTAAGATTCTTACAAAAAATTAAAGGTATTTTATTCACTTCTATAAATCTAGTAGATTAAATTTTTCACTTGAATAGCTTCTAAAACCTTTTTTTTTTTTTTTTTTTCTAACTTGCCAAGAGTCTTTCTTTCTTGCTCCATCTTTCTTATTAAGTCCGAGCCATTGCCATGTTTGTTTGTTTCTCTCTGCTGAAATCTCTTTGATCCTGGAGAAAAAAACAATTGTTGTATGCTGGTATCGCATTAACTATTCAACTGATTTTGCGTCTCTAGCCGATATTTATGGAAATGATGACGATGATGACGACGACGATGAAGAAGATCCTGATTGGGTCAACGAAGAAAAGGAGCAGTTCCACAATTTTCGGGACAAAAATCATGATGGCCATTTGGACAGAGATGAGGTGAAGGAATGGATAATTCCTGAGGAGTTTGATCATATTGATACTGAAACAACTCACCTTATTAGAACTTCTGATGCTAATCAGGTGTGTACTGGATGTCTTGCCTAAGCCATGACAGGCAGGGAACTGCTCAATAACCTTAAGGAATTGTCTGGGTGGTGGGGACTTCATCTTGAAAAGATGAAAAAAAAAAAACAAAAAACAACCTTTTAAAACTTGCTGGGAAGGAAAAATGAATTTTTTTTCTTTCTTTCTTTCTCTCTTTCTTTCTCTCTTCGTTTTTGCTATGACTTATTGTCATCGAAAAAAACGTAACATCTGATTTCATGTTTCTGAAATGGGGTTTTAAAATTTAAAAAAAAAAAATATCCTTTGTATAAGTAAATAAAACCTAATAGATACAAAACTAGCAAATATGTCATTAATTGGATCACCTGGAGGGGGGTGAGATATATATATATATATATATATAATATAGCCAAGTGGTTAGAACATTCACATTCCGACCATGTGACCTGGGTTCGAATCTCACCATGGTTGATTTGTCAGGAAGTAGACACCCTGATGTTATTGGTATGGGGGGGGATAATCCCAGCATGCAGCAACTTTGGAAAGTGCCTGAATACCATACCAAAGGTTGACCCAAACCTTGAGTGAAATTGGGTAGACGGAACCCTTGGGGGTCATCGATAGCTGTGCTAGCACGAAGTCACAAGTCATCGTGACTGAGGGTTTAAGTGTGCTGGCCTTGTTCAGTGTTGATCATGCTAATTAACATGCTCTCTCCCAGAAACTGTAACTGAGGTCTGCTCAGCATAGTTGTAGTATAAACCACATGTTGGCTCTCTGGGTGTTGAACATACACAAATGTGCCTGAGCAAGCGTCTGCAATAGGGATTGGCTAGCCACCCTAATAGCTTTGAATATGAGTGGTCAGCTATTACATACATATATGAATCAGTCTATTGTTAATGCTACTCTTCCTTAAGTCTCTGAAATTCATTCCCCCCACTAGCTATGGGTTAAATAATGACTAGCAAAAGAATTATTTTTACAATCCAAAGTATTTTTTTAATTTTTTTTTTATTATTAAATCTTTATTACAAGTAGAATTTTAAGGTTTAAATACTGCTGTCAAGACTAATTTTGAAAGCTCATTAGAAATATATGAAATCAGATAAATCAAAATAAAAAAATTTGATGTCATCTACTGCTTGTCACTATTTTAAACTCTTCATTGCAAATCTAAATTCCAAGTGTGCAATATTTTTGTTTTCTCCTCTCAATGTGACGACGCATAGCTCACTCCGACGTGGCTCTGTCTGCTCCACCCAGCCTGTAACAAACACTTAATTCTTCTATTTTACCTGTTAAGATTGTTGAGCAGTTGCCTGTCTTGTCATGCTTTCTTTCTTTGGCTGTGTTGTTTAACAAGGCTTTGCCCTTTGTAGGTGACATGTGGCGTGGGGAAAAAGAGGGCGAAGCGGAACCTGATTGGGTTAAAGGTGAACGTGAGCAGTTCTCCACCTATAGAGACAAAAATGCAGATGGCCACATGGACCACGACGAAGTGAAAGATTGGCTACTACCATCTGATTACGATCATTCTAAAGCCGAAGCGAACCATTTAATATATGAGTCCGATAAAAACAAGGTTCGTAACCCCTCCTGGGGCTGCTTTGATTGCGGTTCTGATTCTCTTTTCAGGGCAAAATGCAGGGAGCCCTACCCCATTCTGCTTTCTTGTCGTTGGGATTGGTTTTGTTTGGAGTCAATGGGGAGGGAATTTCTTTTCTATTTTTTTCTTTTCTTTTCTTTTTGTCATGTGATTGGGTAACTTCTTTTTTTTTTTTTTTTTTTTTTTTCCCACCATTTTTACCTGACCTCATATCAGAATTTAAATTTCTTGTGTTTTTTTTTTGTTTTTTTTTTTTTTTTCCTCTTCTCATGCCACTCGTGCTTCTGAAAACAAACCATGCACATTCTTGCTAGGAGTTCTTTTTCTTAAAAGGTGAAAGTTCAAGTTGGCGAGGGTGGGATGAAATTTGACCCACTATCTAAAAAAAATCAAAGTTTATTTTCACTCTTTTTAGCTATTACAAATTGTTGGTATTTCATTAAAGATAAATTTAAATAAAATGAAACCAGCACCCCCACCCCAAAAAGCAAAAATGGCCTACCATTAAAAGTCCTGGGTATGCACTGAATTATTATTATTAGGTATGTGGGTGGTATACTTATTATTGGCACAGTTCAGTTGACTGTCGTAGTTCAAATTCTATTATAGCTGCATTCACATAGCACTAATAATCTTAGTAAAGGCATGAGTCCATTTTCCCTTCCCCTTTCACTGGCTATAGGTAGACTGGGCTGCCAGTCAAAGAAAATGAAGACTGAATTTCAAACTGCCACAAAGAATGGAAAAGCACACCATTATCTTTCCCGATAAATCATATCAATTTATGCGGATTAAAAAGCTGTGGAGAGACATGATCACATAGATCCTGACAGGACATGGCATTAGATCAACAGTATAATAATAAAAACATCCCTCTTCTGCCAAACTCCCAATGTGGACATTTATTTTCTGAAAATAAATGCAGAACTATATTTGACAATATGTCCGGCAATTTATTTCTGCACAGGGTGTGACAGAAATACCTGCTACATATATATCCCAGATAATTAGTGGCAATGGTATCTTCATCTAGTTCATCTTGCAATTATGTGGAGGGTAGTTTTACTGCACCATATATAATGATGGGCTCTCTTGTCTATTTTGATATAAGTATCTAACAGCTAAATAGTGTTTACGCTTAACCCAACTGATTTACAAGACCACAAATAGTGCAAGAGTAAGGGGATTTATGGATGATTAGGATGAGGTTTTTGTCCTTTCTCTTATTTCCTCCAAGTCTTGAAGACAGCCATTTTCAAAGTCCTTAAAACAATTAGCTCTCCCCTCTTTACAATCTGAGGCCATCTACTCAGTCTTATTTGGTATGTTGACATCTGCAGGATTGCACTTCAACTTGTCTTTAAACCTCACCAATGGCTTATGTTTTGTTTTCCAGTGTGAAGGTGGCTATACATGAGATCCTTGATGAATTCTTCCTGTGTAATATATATATATATATATATATATATATATATATATACACACACACCAATTAAAATATGAATCAAATACTTGAACCTTTTTAGATATATTCTCTAATCTCTATTTAGATGGGTTAGTCTACTAAACATGCTCTTCAGCAAAATTTTAATGCTGTCTTTAAATTTTGGAAAAATTTTGTTTGTAATATGAGGTCAGATAAAACATTACTCTGAGGAAGATGCTGTGCACAGTTTGTACTCTTTCATATATATTTGTTTTTTTTTTTTCCTTCATTTGACTCCAAACAAGGCAATAATGCCACGGGGTTACTGAGAGCAAAAGAAAATAAAAAGACTAAAAAAAAACAATGAAAAAAAAAGGACTTTATTATTAATGAGGCTGAAGTATAAAAGTAAAAAATTAAGACAACAATTAATGTTGCATTTAAATTATTGAAGATCATAGATGATATAGAAAGTAAAAAAAACGAAGAGACTGAAGAGTTCATAGGTGCGAAAAGAAACTGTTAGAATGTAACTTATGGTTACATCTAGCGAATTCAACAAAAAAAATAATGGGACCTAATTGCCAATCTAGTCGTGCAGAAATTTAATTATATATATATATATATATAGATGACTCTAAAACTTTTGTTTACACCTTTGGGTATGAATACATTGCATAAAGATAGATCAAAAATATATCCCCTAATTTGAGCAACTGTATTAAATTTTGCAGATATTTGTTTAATTCTGCTGAAGTAAACTTTGGGCTGAGGGCATGTAGGATAATCAAATTTATTTAGTTTCTTTTTAAATGAAAAAGATAAATATTTTGAAGGCATAAAGAAACGAAAGAAAAACTTTTTTTTTTTTTTTTTTTTTTTTTTTTTCTTTCTTCTTAAGGTCAGAAACAAAATAGTTGAAGATTCCACCAAAGGCTCTTATCAAAAAGAATACAATCTGCAAATCAATTGTTGGTTGGCTTGTAGTGGGTGGGGGTATTAAGTTTTTCCGACCTGGTCAAGTGTCTCTCTAATTGGCTTTTATATTCGTGGTCTGATATAGAAAGACTCGTACAGAGTGGGGATATCTTTTCACAATTTGACATTGCGTTTTGAGACAAATGTGCACAATGTCTTCTTTATCCTCTCTACAATTTTTTGAGTGTTTAAAAAAAAAAAAAATAAAAAAAAACTCTATCTCTCTCTATCTCTCTCTATCTCTCTCTATCTCTCTCTATCTCTCTCTATCTCTCTATATCTCTCTATCTCTCTCTTCTCTATCTCTCTCTATCTCTCTCTATCTCTCTCTATCTCTCTCTATCTCTCTCTATCTCTCTCTATCTCTCTCTATCTCTCTCTCTCTCTCTCTATCTCTCTATATCTCTCTCTATCTCTCTATCTCTCTCTCTCTCTCTCTCTCTCTCTCTCTCTCTATCTCTCTCTCTATCTCTCTCTCTTTCTCTCTCTATCTCTCTCTCTATCTCTCTCTCTATCTCTCTCTATCTCTCTATCTCTCTCTCTCTCTATCTCTCTATCTCTCTCTCTATCTCTCTCTATCTCCATCTCTCTCTATCTCTATCTCTCTCTATCTCTATCTCTCTCTATCTCCATCTCTCTCTATCTCCATCTCTCTCTATCTCCATCTCTCTCTATCTCTATCTCTCTCTATCTCTATCTCTCTCTCTCTCTCTCTCTCTCTCTATCTCTCTCTCTATCTCTCTCTCTCTCTATCTCTCTCTCTATCTCTCTCTCTATCTCTATCTCTATCTCTATCTCTATCTCTATCTCTATCTCTATCTCTATCTCTATTTGTTTTCATTAAAGGTGTATTGTATAATTTCGTATGAACCATTTGGAACTGGTGCTGTATAATCATGTATTTCTAAACTTACTTTCCTCACTTCTGTCAATGTTCTTTTGCATTAGGATATTAAAACCTGCTGTAGTAGTTGGCTGGCTCATGTGATTATGTATTTTGCTTAATACATTCCGGAGGCAAAAGATGTCATTTACTGTCTTTATTTCAGCACTGCTCTTTGATAAGATCTGAAACTGATCAAATGTCATTGCTCAGAGCCACTTGTGTAATAATTTTTCTTTTCTTCTGTGACTGAATAGCATCTAGGCTTATAGTAGCCCTATACTATAGCCCTGGATGTCAAGCAAGTTTGTTACATTCAATTATACACAAATGTCCTTGGAACAAGGTACACATCCATCTCTTCCCCCACCAGATATGGATTAAATAGGATAAACAGGGTTTTGTGGGGACCTCATGACACACTGTGCATCAATTCTCTGTATTTAGCTCTTGCAAAAAGTGAGGCTGGTTCTGCACAAGCCTTCATCACTTTAATCAAAATTATATATGTGGGAGTATAGTTTTATGGGCTGATCTATTAGATTCTCAAATCTTTAAGATGATGGAAGGGTTCATCATGGTTACAGACTTCAAAAATACATGAAAAAAAAGAAATGCAGATGACTCTTACAGGGTTTATTCGAAAAAATTGGTAAACAAATAGTCTTATTTAAACACATCAGCACGCTTCCAGATGAGCTCTACTGGCTGCATGTGTCACATCTTGACAGATGTTCAATTTCCATTTTCTACAAGATATTTCTCGTTTCTATAAAGTTCTTGTGCCAAGCACCAATGCTATCATGACTTGGTAGAAATTTTGGCAAACATGAGTAACCACGCCCACAATAGGACCTAGTGTCAAAAGGGCACTTTTTCATATGAGACAGCTTTTTTTTAACTTGTCAGCAATATTTGTTTTTAAAAAAACAAACGTTAAAATTGGAATAAAACCTAACATATGAAAGTGAATTTGTCTTCCTAAAAAAACGCTTTATTATATTATCTATTGGAATGGTTGGCAAAATATTAGCTAATTGCCATTTGATTCAAACTTTAACCTTTTGAGCCCTGATCACCACTTTACCAGTGGTAGAGAAAAATGACGTACGGCAAAGCTACCGGTTGAACAGTGAATAAACACTTGTAACTATTTTTATATCTACCGTGAAATATTACATACCAATTGTCTGCGAATTTTGACTCTGGGAGCCTTTTTGATGCTACATCTTATTGCAGACATGTTTATCCATCTGTCTATATTTCTGAGATGAGCTATTGTAACTATTTTTACTGTTCAGACTGTTGTCCTCATCTTTGCTGTCATATTAACAACATTTCAGCTGTTGTACGCTCCAGCATTCTTCATGTGATATTTCAAAATGAACTCTATTAGTCCAATTTGGGGTAGATTGTTCTAGTTCCACATGCCGTGCCTTTTCAGGATGTCTCAGTTTAAATTACTTACCTTTAGTAACTTAACTCTCCAAGTTTTCCTCCAAGTATTGAACTCACAACTGTTGGGGTCAAATCACTTTTGGATTTCTTCAACCAATGTTTTTATCCACTTGGCCACGTGTCCTTGTAAGTTTAGTACTTGAAAAGTTGAGTTTGTAAGGGGAATTCTTTTTCTTTTGTCTTTCCCCCCCCCTTTTCTTTTTGTTTTTCCTTTTTTTTTTTTTTTTTTTTTTTTTTCTAATCGCATCAGCAAGTTCCAAATGGTTAAACTAAATTTGTGTGTGAATACAGTTTCTTTAAATTTGCAACCTTGAATAATTGGACAAACATTATCCTACTTAGAAAGGTGGAAGGGATCAAATTTTGTAAGACATTTTCAGGAAAATTAACATCATGAAACTCTTGAGTTTTTCATATGCAGCATGATTCTGTCCAAAATCGTTTGCCATTGAGAACTTCTAGAATGACCTAAGCTACAATTTTACCAGTCATTCTGCATATATATATATATATATATATATATATATAATATGTGTGTGTGTGGGCCACTTAATGAGAAAATACAATTATCTACAAATTCCTATAGAAAAAAAACTTGAAAAAGTTATTCTTCAGTGTTCACATAAATTAAACCCAACATCACACCATGTGTTTTCTCTGTATGCATGAATGGAGTGAATTAATAAATTCAATTGGTTACATATATTTTATTTTTTTTTTTTTTTTTTTTTTTTTTTTTAAACATACGTGTGTTAGCACATGCGATACCCTGTCTTCATCAGCCGCCGACCAGGGGTGATCTCACGGTTTCGGTGGCTATGGCGGGACCGCCACCCCAGGCGCCACTAGCAGCATTTGTATGAAGGGTAAATCGGAAAGTAAAGACAATTTTTAAATGAACTGATTAAAAACAATGGAAGCACCAACATTGAACAGCATTTGTTCACTCAGAATGATGGGTAGCTAGCTGCACCCACTGTGGCCCACTCAGTTATGACACCCTTAAGGAATGACTCGCCCTAGTACACCCTCTGTGAGCAGAGGGAGTCAAACCTGCAGAAATCCATCACTAGATGTTGATGCAGTATGGAGCACACACCATGAATTGACGAAAAGTGTGCGAGTGGGTGGGAAATCTTGAAAGTGTGAAGAACAAGTGTAATGAACAAAAGCCGATGTGGTTGTCCATCATTCTTGTGCGCAGAATAACACATCAAGAGGGTGAAGGCTTTGATCAAAGAAGACAGACAAATCCTGTTAGCCCAAGTGGCAGCAATCATTGGCATCAGATGGATATATATATATAGTGTATAGAAAAGAAAGAAAGAGCTAGAAACATGAAAGTCTGTCGAAAAAAAATCGCACAGGTACAGGTTTGAAGCCCAAAGAAAAAACCCCGCCTCAAGTAAACATCTAACAAAAGAGCTCGATACAACTGTAGAGCAGACAAACCTACCCAGGTTTCACCTAAGTGGATCGTCAGGGAAAGCTGGGTAGGTTTGTCTGGCTCACTAGGTTTTTATATATATATATATATATATATATATATATATATATATATATATATATATATATATATATATATAGTATTTGGGCATAATCCTCTATTATACAAGTTTCATTGAAGATGACTGACAAGGCACTGCAATTAAGCTATTTATTTAATTTTACTTGTGTCCAAAAGTTCTCCATGTCCAAACACTTTCATATATTCTTTTTAGCGATTATCAAAGATGATTTTTTATTTTTAACTGAATGCATATACATTAGTATAGAGCCATATGCAAGGAGGCACATCTAAAGATATATGTAAAATACACTTCCTATTTTTTTTTTTTTTTTTTTTTTTTTATTTTAATTACTCAATATTATCTTCATATTTCTTTGAACATCGAAAGTCAACCAAATAATGTTGTACAAAATGTTATTAAACAGACGAAACTAATAAAACAGTCACTGTATAAGCCATGGGCACAACTAAATGTAGATTCTCCCACTCTATTTAGAATCTTAGATAATTTGTAGCGATCTGTAACTGAGAAATCTCCTACGCAAATATTAACCAACTTAGGGGTTGATAGAAAAACTTTTTATATTGGGATTTTATCTATAAAAGCCCTCTTTGTCGGATAAAGAATATTAATGATGAACAAAAAAAAAAAAACTAAAGAGGATTAATTAGGGAAATGTTATTCACACACAAGGGGTTTTTTTTGTTTTTTTTTTCTTTTAACTGAAATTATAATTTTTTTTTTTTTTTTTTCTTCTCCAATGTGTCCCCAACTAAAAACAAAAATTTACTGTTTCACTAAAGTAACTTTCTTTTCTTTTCTTTCTTTTTCTTTCCCTCTGCAGGATGGCCAGCTATCCATGCAAGAAATCCTGGATAAATATGATCTGTTTGTCGGCAGCCAAGCAACCGATTTTGGAGAGGCCCTGAAATCACACGATGAATTCTAAGCCACTGTGCCCACATCCCCAACCCCGCTGCTCATGCCATTGATGACTGGCTAAGCCACTCCTTGAATTTAAGTGTCATTCAGCTGAACAACTCCCAGGACTACTTCTCTGAACCCTGAGCTTATGATTTAAGAGGAAAAAAAAAAAAAAAAGTCTTGCAGGAACACTCACAATGGTCACAGATATAAACCCTGTCGTCAGACGGGTGAGGTGTTTCCCTTAACAAAAATGTGGGTGCCTGGTCCCCCCCCCCTCATCTCCTCCACGTCCTAAGGTTAAGTGACTAGAAATTTGGTCAGCAGGAATCAATATTTTATTTGTTCATATTTTATGCTGACTAAATGGCATTGGTAGCTGACGGGGAGGTGTGTGTGTGTGTGTGTGTGTGTGTGTAAAGTGGATGTGCATTAGAAATATTGCACTTTCCATATTGTTTGTGCATAGTGGTAAGGTATGAGCATATCTACTACATGCAGTATGCATTATAACATCTAACAAGTGTAATGCAAACTAGCATGCATAAACCCACCTGGTTGGGGATGATTAATCTATATTTCATGTATATGCTTTGCCAAAGACCCTTTTTACTTTTTTTTTTTTTTTTTTTTTTTTTTTTTTTTTTTTTTTTTTTTTTTTTTTTTTTTTTTTTTTTTTTTTTTTTTTTTTTTTTTTTTTTCTTTTTTTTTTTTTTTTTTTTTTTTTTTTTTTTTTTTTTTTTTTTTTTTTTTTTTTTTTAAACTTTATTTTGTCATAAAATAAAATATTTTGAAATACTTAATTTTTTTTTTTTTTTTTTTCACTTTCTGATTTGTGATTAATATCACTGTAATTTGTTAGATATTAGATATACATATTTCTAAAAACATATGCTTGCCGTGTGTGTATAATCTATGCACCTACCATGTGGTAAATGTGCTTAGAACAAGAGTGGGTGATTAGGGGGGGAAGTTTTCTGCTGCTTTGTTAGACACTGAGAAAATAATTCTATACTGGCTTCAGTCATCTTGTCTCTATTTAATTCATCAAAATCATTCACTGACTTGGTAGCATTTGGGTTTAATTTCCATCACAGTCTGAAAACTTAATATCAACTAACTTGAGATTAAAAATGGCTTTTTTTCTTTCTTTTTTTTTTTTTTTTTTTTCCACAAAATACCCAAAAGATATAGAAATAGTTTGTGTGTGTATGTATATATATATATATATATATATATATATATATATATATATATATATATATATATATGAAATACAACATATTTTTAATTTATTTGTTTAAATATTTTTAAATGGATACTCTTATTCAGGTAGAAGCTCTGAATTTATTTATTTATTAAACGGTATATTTACATTTACCAGACTGAATATTTGAGAAATCTTGTCAGGAAAATATGCACAGGTTTTCGGGGAGATATGTGTTCAAATATCAGGAGGTCCTACATGGTCAAATGCTCTAAGACACATCAGATCTACTGACAATTTCCCCTAGGAGATGCAGGTTCATATCCTGCTGGAGAGAGCATATTTTTTTTCTAACAAGATTTCTTGACTATTAAGGTTGGTAGATGTAAATAAATAAATATACTGTTTAATAGATAAATAAAAAAAAAAAAAAAAAAAACAAGGCAGCTACTCAAATATGAATATCCTCCCCCCCCCCCAAAAAAAAACATTTAAGCCAATAAATTTAAAAAGAACTTATATATATATATATATATATATATATATATATATATATATATTAGAATTATGTAACTTTGAAATAGCTGAGGTAATTAGCTTTGCATGGTTTTGTATGCAAAATTATTACACAAAATATTTTTACAAAATGTATACATGAATAACTTTTTAATTAATTTTTTTTTTTTTTTTTTTAAATAAAATGCTGATTGCCATCTTCCTGATTTAAAGTATTAAAAAGTTTTCCAATTAAATACCTAATCATCATACCTTATTACCCAAAGTATTTGAAATGATCCTACCTCCCACACTTAACCCTTAAAACAGACATGCCATTGCACCCCGCTTAAAAGTATTCGGGTTACCATTAATTCCCATCATTCACTACGTCAAGAGAAACCAGTCTTTTAAATCACAAGTAATGTCTGTTACTTTTTAAATGTAATTGTTTACTTCTCTTGTGCATATGTATGAAGGCAGACGTATAGCCATTCGATTATTCAAGGGAAATAACTCTAAACATCTAGTTACCTCCCTTGAATTATCCAAAAATAAAACAATTCTGAGATCATCTTCACGTCATAAGAGACAAGGGACTTTAGCCGCAAATGGCACTGAAGTATTTTGTAATGAAAAAAAAAAGATTTAGATTAATTTGAAAGTCTTCTCCTGTTAGCTTCTCAGGAAATTCTAAAGTTAACTTGGGATTAATCTAATTTGTTAGAATTCTATTAAATTGGTATTTTTTTTTTTTTTGTCTTTTAGCAAGTGAATTCATTTGTCTTCATCTTGTCAAACCTATTTGGACTCAAATGTTTTTATATTACAGATTTAAGTTTTTTTTTTTTTTTTTTCTTTTGTTGTTTTCTTTCTCTCAAGTACATGCATAAAAAAAATCGTGAAAAGAAAATTTGTCATTGTCATCAAGAATGTAGGAGGAAAAATATTTTATTTCGGAAGAAAAGAAAATACTTTTTTCTTTTTTTTTTTTTTTTTTCTTCTACATGAGAAAATGCCAAAATATTTACAAAATACAGATGCAATTTTTTTATTGCAATTTGAATATTTTTTTTATCACCATCTTTGAAAAAGTTTTATTTTCCCACCCAATTTATTTGAAAACTTGTCATTGATGTACTTTTTTTTCTTTTTTTTTTTTAGTTTCTTTTCCCTTTCAGTTTGAACAAAAAAAAGTAGTTATTATGGAACCAACGATCTATAATCTTTCTTTTTAAATAAAAAGAAAATAAATAAAATAGTTGTTTGTCTCTTTTTTGTCTTTTTTTTTCTTTTTTTTTCTTTTTTTTTTTTTTTTTTTTTTTTTTTTTCTTCTTGTCTTTCTCTTCTTGTCTTTCTCTTCTTGTCTTTCTCTTCTTGTCTTTCTCTTCTTGTCTTTCTCTTCTTGTCTTTCTCTTCTTGTCTTTCTCTTCTTGTCTTTCTCTTCTTGTCTTTCTTCTTGTCTTTTCTCTTCTTGTCTTTCTCTTCTTGTCTTTCTCTTCTTGTCTTTCTCTTCTTGTCTTTCTCTTCTTGTCTTTCTCTTCTTGTCTTTCTCTTCTTGTCTTTCTCTTCTTGTCTTTCTCTTCTTGTCTTTCTCTTCTTGTCTTTCTCTTCTTGTCTTTCTCTTCTTGTCTTTCTCTTCTTGTCTTTCTCTTCTTGTCTTTCTCTTCTTTGTCTTTCTCTTCTGTCTTTCTCTTCTTGTCTTTCTCTTCTTGTCTTTCTCTTCTTGTCTTTCTCTTCTTGTCTTTCTCTTCTTGTCTTTCTCTTCTTGTCTTTCTCTTCTTGTCTTTCTTCTTGTCTTTCTCTTCTTGTCTTTCTCTTCTTGTCTTTCTCTTCTTGTCTTTCTCTTCTTGTCTTTCTCTTCTTGTCTTTCTCTTCTTGTCTTTCTTCTTGTCTTTCTCTTCTTGTCTTTCTCTTCTTGTCTTTCTCTTCTTGTCTTTCTCTTCTTGTCTTTCTCTTCTTGTCTTTCTCTTCTTTTTCTCTTTCTCTTCTTGTCTTTCTCTTCTTGTCTTTCTCTCTTGTCTTTTCTCTTCTTGTCTTTCTCTTCTTGTCTTTCTCTTTTGTCTTTCTTCTTGTCTTTCTTTCTCTTCTTGTCTTTCTCTTCTTGTCTTTCTCTTCTTGTCTTTCTCTTCTTGTCTTTCTCTTCTTGTCTTTCTTTCTTGTCTTTCTCTTCTTGTCTTTCTCTCTTCTTGTCTTTCTCTTCTTGTCTTTCTCTTCTTGTCTTTCTCTTCTTGTCTTTCTCTTCTTGTCTTTCTCTTCTTGTCTTTCTCTTCTTGTCTTTCTCTTCTTGTCTTTCTCTTCTTGTCTTTCTCTTCTTGTCTTTCTCTTCTTGTCTTTCTCTTCTTGTCTTTCTCTTCTTTCTTTCTTTCTTGTCTTTCTCTTCTTGTCTTTCTCTTCTTGTCTTTCTCTTCTTGTCTTTCTCTTCTTGTCTTTCTCTTCTTGTCTTTTCTCTTCTTGTCTTTCTCTTCTTGTCTTTCTCTTCTTGTCTTTCTCTTCTTGTCTTTCTCTTCTTGTCTTTCTCTTCTTGTCTTTCTCTTCTTGTCTTTCTCTACCTACCAAATATGCCAAGATTTTGCAGCAGCAGTCTTTCTTAATTTTAAAGGCTTATTTGTTGTTGAAATTAAATAAACTAGATTTAATGATTCCCTTTTCCTGAATAGTAAAAGGAATTGATTGAGAGCAGAATTTTGTGTTGCCGTGAATAGGGAGACAGGGTAAAATAAAGTCAGTGGAACAGGAATTGAAATACAAAAAAAACTATCCGTCAGCAAGTAAAGATCTTTTTCTGCTGCTGCATTTCACTTACACAACTTGCAAAGAAAAATTAAAATAAAACAAACTTTTGAACATGTATGGTGGAAGAAAATCTAAACAATTTTTGTAAATGTGTAAGAATTTCTTATAACATTTTATGTCCATATGTAAACTGCTTTAAATGAATTTACTGCTGGTTTGAATTCAGTTTAGGTCATCAACCAAAACTCTAGCCATGCCCGCTCTGTTTTACCCAGAGCTTGTATGAGTTTTTAACTCTAATTTATAAAGTTGAGTATGTGAAAATAATATCATAATGAGAGATATATATATATATATATATATATATATATATATATATATATATATATATATATATAGAAATTTTCATAGGAAATGTCCTCCAACAGGAATCAAACCTGTATCCCATACAGTTTTACTGATTTAGCCACAGACTAGCGTTTCGGTTAACAAGGTCGATTTTACTGTTTTTAAACTACAATTTTCCATGATTTTCTCTCGTACATTCATATCTGCTCAATGCGTATCCAAATGTAGACGTCTTAAAATAATTGTCGGACTTTGTTCATTTCATAATGTGTTGCGTCATTTGTTTACATTTGGATATGCATTGATCAGATATGAATGTACGAGTGAAAATCATGGAAGATTGTAGTTTAAAAACAGTAAAATTGACCTTGCTAACCGAAATGATCCTCTGTGGCTCAATCGGTAAAAGCACGTCACGGTTCTGTATAGGATACAGGTTCGATTCCTGTTGGAGGATGCATATTTTCTACGTAAATTTCTCAGACATTCAGGTCGGTAAATGTTAATACTGTCTATTATAAACAGAGCATATACATATATATATATATATAAAAATTAATAAAATGAAGAGAAAAACCACAAACGTTTTTGATTGTAATGTGGATTATATATATATATATATATATATATATATTTTTTTTTTTTTTTTTTTTTTTTTTTTAAAAAAGTTTTTATTTTCCTACACGGGTTTCCAGTCTCGCAACGGGTGGGGATTTCCACATATTATTAAAAATAAAACAAAGAAAATGTCTCGTATCAAGAATATTTAACATAAAAAAAAAATGAATTATTTTTAATAATAGGTGGAAATCTCCACCCTTTGCTTGATGACGGTCGCAAGACCAGAAACACGTGTGGCAAAATTATGGAAAATAACTTTTTTTTTTTTTTTTTTTTTTTTTAAAATCCCCATTACAACCAAAAACTTTTTCAGCTTTTCTCGTCTTTTTAATATACACACTTTCCTCTCATTGGAATTCTATAACCTCTTCCTTTTATACATGTGTATATATATATATACACGCGCATACCTACCTATATGTATGCACACCCTTATATCTACGTTTGTAGGGTAACTTAGTTTCATAACTTACTAATTTCTCAGACACATATGTAATTTAGCATTCCTCTCATGCGACCCAGTATTTTAAAAAAAAAAAATGTAATAAGTGGCTCAATTGCCATATATCCCTGACGACTCGGGGAATCATGAAATTAAGTAACCCTACAAACGTAGGTGTGTGTATTTATTAATATATGCTTCATAGATATATTTAACTACATTGAGCACCGTTTTCTTTGGACCATAAATTAAATGTTTACTTATTTGTGTATGCATGCTATCACACTCACACACATACAGTTGCTAATATCTCGTTATTTAGTTTACACACACGTGTGTCATTTGGAAAAAATCTTAATTTTTGCCAACGCGTTTTATCTTCTGACATTAACAAGGCAAACAATGAAAGCGAAATGTCTTTGTTGTCATAGTTATGTTATATCTAAAACTTTGAAAAAGAGGGACGCTCTGCTGTAAGCCTCTTTCTGGCTAATGTTAACTTCCATTATACTAAGAGTTTGTTTTTTGTTTTCCATGTTGACAACATAGTAAATAGAATAATTCTGTGGATAAGACAAATTGGTATAAAAATGACAATTGGAAAAAAAAAGTCTTAGTTTTTGCCGATACATTTTGTCACACACACACATATAATTATTTATTGGAAAATTATAACAAATATCACTTGATAAGACACCAGAAGTGTTGAAACAAAATGGCTATTTTTGTAGTGATTTTATAATTTTCGAATAAATAATTATATTTGCTCTACTTTGAGTACTCTTTTAAGAATAGTATTTGTTAGTTATTGGAATTTATTCCGTATACACCGATCCTATACTTGGATATAGATATGTATATGTATATAGATGTATATCTATATGTATGTATATATATATCTGTGAAAAATATATAGGAAAGAACTTGTTAGGTAAATAATCCAAAGTTCTTTAGTATTTTTGTTATTATTTTTAAAAAATAGTGCTCGATACAAAAGTAGAGCATAAATTTTTAAATATATATATATATATATATACACAGAGTGAGTCAAAATTATGTTAACACTAGTATAAGGGGAATCATTTCTTCAGAGCTTACTGAATAATCTCCACCTGACCACCAGCATTGATTGATGCACAAAAATCAGCGATCAACAGTACAATTCAGTGCCTTGACTTACAATTCACCAGAAATTTTTGATGTCTCTCACTTTTTTTGCTATACCCGTGATCCTTTATCATACCCCATAACCAGAAGTCAGTGTGTCATTACCCCATATTTCTTTACCACTCCAACAGTGACTGCAAATAAATGCTTATTATAAATGCTACAAGAGTATGCCATTGATTACCTACCCTGCTCGTCTGATGTGTAGGGGCATTTCCAACAGGATGCAATGCTTGTAGAATGATTATCTGAACGTCGAAGTTCGCCAATGTAGAATGCTTTCTTTCTTGAGTGTTGTAGTCACCAATGTTGAAGTGGTTAAATAGATAAATGTGGCTGCATATTGAGAAAGGCAATAAACATTCATACATAATATTTAAAATATCAAGGAAAAACAATGAAGAACCAATTTGTTTTAAGGAATAAATATATAAAGTGTAACCCGGATATAAGAGAGATTTTCTCTGGTCCCAAATTAGAGCCTGTGTTAATGTATATAAAATAGACCAAACCCGGATATAAGAGAAACCCGGATATAAGAGACTTCTTCTCCGGTTCCGACAACTCTCTTATATCCGGGTTACACTGTATATTAAAAAAACTCAACAATAATACAAAGTAGTTGCAATATGAGTGAAATAGGGAGAAAAAAGTAGCTTCCCTTTAACTGTAAGGAAATGTTTTAAGGAAGATTTATTAGAGTATAAAGTTCAGTGTTGAAAAAGAATATTTCTTTAGAAAATTGTTCAGTTGTGTTGCAACTTACAGAGTTGATTCAACTTATTATGTCCGCAGAGAACTGGTGGTGTATCAAATAAAGTTCTGTATCTGTGTGTATGTACGTGCGGAGTGAGTAGGATGAATAATACAAGTGAGTAGTTGAGATCTATTGTCTCTGGTTTTTACTCTACTGTGGTGCTGGAACTACTACTACTTGTTTTTTGGAATGCATCCAATATTTATATTACTTAGGGTGGCTCCCAGCACAGATGCAGGATATATTTTTAAATGTACACGAAAACTACTCGATTGGACAAAAAATGGACCAATCAGTGATTTTATAGCAAAACTTGTTTGTGAGCAAAGTGTAGGAAAAAATTCAGTATGGTGAAATGCGATCGATAAATTGTCCTATTATTTTTAGTATTTATCGACCAATCAAAATTGAAGAAATATAGGCGTGGCACTACAGCGTCATTCTGCCCGTACTGTTCATGCTTATCTCGATCAAAGTTTCCCATTTAAGCTTATGTCGATGGTTTTTATTCTCACATGACAGTATTTTACAGAAAACATTTGGCTGAAGCTCCAGTATTTTAACAACTATGTTAGTAGCAATAGAAAAAAAATCTTGACAAGGGTACCTACAAAAAAATGTCTGTCAAAACGACAGTTTTTCCCTTGATGCCACTATCATTTTAACTCCCTTCACTCCACAGCAATGTTTATTGTTTTTAAAAAGCAATGATTTAGAATTTTAACGTAGGAATTTATACATTTTTGTCCTTGAGAATTGACAACAAAAAAAAGAAAAACTATTTTATTATTTAGTTACATTATTACATTGTTTATTGGAATTGTTGGCAAAACATGAGCTAATTGTCAATCAATTCGAACTTTATAAAATGGTAAATAAGGATTCCCTTATGGTTTGTTCATATATATTTTAATAATTTAGTAAATGTTTATAAATTTAGGAATAAACAATTGTTTTCATATTTCTTTATAAATTAGTAAATGATAAATATTGAATTTTTATAATGTTGTAAATATAAAATTATCCTTGTAAATAAACAAAAGTGTTTAATATTTTGTTGTAAATTCTCAAGGACAAAAATAAGTGTATAAATTCATTGTGATCATATTTTAGGTTTTATTACAATTCTAATCATTGATTTTTAGAATAAATATTGCCAAGGAGTGAAGGTAGTTAAAATAACAGTGGTGTCAAGGGAAAAAAATTTTTTTTTTTGTTTTTTTTTTTTGGAAATAAAATTTAAAGATTCCCAAAATATATTTTTCCAATTAAACTTTTCTCAAAATGCTCAACATTTTTACTTTTTCTACTTTTGTTCGCCTGCAGCTTGTAATGTCTTTTTAACCAACAGCACACCTAGGAGCAAATTAAAATATCACGGCACACCTAACAAAATTTTTAAAGCGTATACATTTAAATATGCACGAATCTGAACTTACTTTATTTCAATGTTTCTATTCAACTATTTGTACAGCTTATTTAGTACTAAACCTGTGCCTGTTTTTTTTGTTTGTTTTTTTTAT